TTCCAACTAAACACAAAGGCATGGCCGCTCTCAGGTTTCTCTCTGCTTCCATGTAATAGCACCTTGAATGAGGCTTTAGTCGGCCTTGATCCCGACCAATCCCGACGACGCCGCGCGGGTGGCGGTGCTGCCATCGGTGAGCAATGCATGACCGAGCGTGACCGACTGTAACGACTAACGTACATTCAAACCTAAGAAAGTGAGGGGGAGGCACGTCGTGGGTGGTCCGCCGTCGTGCCGCCGACCGGGAACGCGACGCGTTGTGTGGTCCGGCTGGATTCATGCGTCTCGAGTGGCGACTATCGCGTAGAAGATGCGAGAGGCCTCGCCGTAGCGGGACGCAGACCTTTGGGCCTCGTGGTTAGCCGAGATCGATCCGTGGGCTCGATCGCACCAAGGTATCCGCGTGACCCGCGTCCTCTCGCCGTCCTTCGATTGTTTATTTCGCTGCGACGCAGCGTATTCGCGAAAGGGAGAAGCTGAGCTTTCTTTTTGTCTCGTCGAAAATGGCAGGGAAAGGGGAGACTCGCTTCTACCGCTTTCGCTTTCGTTAAAATCACGTTTTTCTCAATCGATTCCCCACCGATGTGTGAAAAACTCTTGCTTTCCGCTTGCAGATGATTTCTTTACTAATCCTCTGTTGCCTGCTGCTCCGCGACGGCTCGTCTCTGGAACTGGATCAGGGATTTACGGCTAACGAGAACAGTGAGAATGGCACGTGGGAGGACGTGGACCTGAGCCGGCATAGAATCAACGATCCTAATTATTTGATGGAGAGATATCCCATAGGCAAGTTGCCGGACACTTCGACCTGCCGCAGGCGCGCCAAGTGCGTTCCGCTGTCCAGAAATACTTGTATGGGTACGAAATTACCTTACACTTTTACCACGTTGGACCTTGTGCCAGAGCGCATAACTCAAGACATTATTGAGGTAGATAAGATTATTATTTATGTATTCTTTGCATTAGTAATGCTCTCGCTCTTCTTTCCTTCCGATAAAACGTGATCTCTGCGAATATTTACGCATGCAAGTTAGAAACTTGGCGTTGCAGAGCTTTCTAAGTAATACACCTACTTGCGTCTGTTTAAACCAGCAAGTTTGATATCAAGATTGTATCTCATAGGCCCAGTTTTTCATCTTCTGGCTAACTGTTAACCAGAGGTGTTTCATCTTCTGGTTAACAGTTAACTAGAGGTTAGTTGAGTCTCTTTCTTTTTATATATTATTATCTAAGGTCTGGTTTATCATTTTCCAAAATGAAAAACCTTAGATAATAACATAGAAAATAATATAGAAATAACATAGAAAAAGATGGAGAGTTAACTAACTTCTGGTTAACAGTTAACCAGAAAATGAAAAAACAGGCCTTAGAGTGAATTTTACAAACGTCGGTTAACTGTTAACCAGAGTTCACTCAACTCTATACTTTTTTCTATCTTGTTATTTAGAAAAGACAGAATCAATTAACCTTCGGTTAGCAGTTAACCGACGTTTGTGAAACTGGCCCTTACTATGCTTATCTTTCGACAACAATGTGAAGCTATAAGGGTAATATACAGTTGCGCCCACGTAGAGACGGCCCTATTGCGCTCATAGTCAGGCTGAAGCGTGCCTTTTTTTAGGAGAGAACGTTCCTTCACGCGGACTTCGATCGATCGGTGTGTTTTGGCAAAACATAAACACGGACACCGATCGATCGAAGCCGCGTGAAGGAACGTTCTCTCCTCAAGAAAGACACGCTTCAGCCTAAGCGCGGTAGGGCCGTCTCTATACGCGGGCGCAACAATATTTTAATGTTTAAGAATCGCTACATTTCGACCAAGGGTTTTGGTCGAAATGTAGCGATTTTCAAGCGATCTGACTATACAAAATAAAAGATTTACAAATTATTACATAGATAAAGTAAAAACGAAAGTATAATATTTCTCCGCCAGCACCTAGTAGTGCTAATAAAGGAGGTTTTCCTGTTGCCAGTGGTGCCGAATTCACCTTTCATTATAAATAAAGTATATAACCAAGTCCGAGATATTAAGTTAACAGTTGCACATATTACAATTTGTTCAGGATTCACCTGAACTGGAGTCGATCCCGAGCGATATCAGGGGCCCGATTCTTGAATTCATTCGAAGAAGAAACGTAGACGAAAATTCTGCTCTGACAGAAAAGTTGAAAGTCGATTGGTTAAAAGCTATGCGAATAACCAATCAACTTGCAACTTTTCTGTAAGAGCAGAATCTTCGTATACGTTTCTCCTTCGAACAGATTCAAGAATCGAGCCCCTGGACCCCTGTGAAGTTAGCCCCCCATTATTTAAAAATGTAACTTTTTTACGAGTTCTCTATAGATTTACAATAGTTCCAGAGTTCTTGATGGGTTTAAGAAATAGTTCTGCCCATTAAAGACGTTAAAATGAATTTTTTAAAATGCTAACTTCACGCAGCCCCCCATTTTCGTAAAAACTAATTTTTTAATGGAGTTCTGGATAGATTTCGCATAGTTCTAGAGTTCTTGATACATTTTAACAACAGTTCTACACGAGAAATAAATTTATTTTATAACGCCATACAAATACATTAAAATTTTTTTGTAACGTTGTTTCTAGATACTTTTGTTCTATACCTTGACTTTTACTATTCTTAATCAATAAAATTGAAATATCATAATTCACCTTTTCCTTTTTAAGAAAGAAACCAAATACAGTGGGAACTGCATCTTTTTTTAATTTCCTTTTTCCATTTAATGTTTGTTGCCACATCTCAGGAGCAAAATGTATCTATATAAAAGAAACAATATTTAATTTAATCATAATTGTTATTTAATTATTTTCATAAATAATAAAACATTAGAAATCAAAATAATTACAATAATTTTTAGTTTTTGAAATTTACAAATTACGTTATATACATTGAGAATAAGAAATATCAATACATAAATCAAAATAGAGACAAGATTCATAATATCATTTTTAATCAAGTTAATAATACATTTGTAATTTTGTTATAACTTTGTTAGAAACATGATACTTAACCTCACAAAGATACGAATTATTCGTAGGTGTACAATCTTTACGGCCAACATTTTTTGTCCATATCGCACGACGTTTGCAATTTCTAGGAAAAACCTTCATACAATATCCTTTTGACGATGAATTATTACAAAATTCTGCCCAACAACCACCCATTTTTGTACAATCACGTTCACTACGGTAAATACGCATACATCGTATGTACAAAACAAAAACAAAAGAAAAAGAAGAGTGAGATGCCTATGTTTCTCTCTCACTCGCAGGAATTTGCCGAACTCTCTTATGGCCAGTCTCTGATTACAGGGTCTCTAGGGTACTCGTAAGAAAAGTTAAAATTTTAAATAATGGGGGGCTAACTTCACAGGGGTAGCCCCTGGAGCCGTTCGCGCCACCTGTCGGTCGCGTTGCGATAACTTGCGGGAGCACGTGCCAACAGCGTGATATTCCGTCGCGCGATCTCGGGCGTCCAATCCGCGACACTTATGTTTTTTTGTCTCCCCGGTGAGTTCGGTGCGCCCGGCGAATCCGGCGATCGCGTCAGACGCAT